AACTGCGACCAAGCGAGAACACTCCCTGTCGGTCTCTCTGATATTCCCGGCGAAGACACTGTGAAGCTGTTTTGCCCCTCCTGCCTCGACGTCTACGTCCCTCCCAACAGCCGTTTCCAAACCGTCGACGGTGCCTTCTTTGGCCGTACCTTTGGCGCCCTCTTCCTCCTCACATTCCCGGAATACGACCTCACTAAGCGTGGGGCCGAGGTTCTCAGCAGCGGCGGCGCTCGTATTAACGATGATTCGCTCGAGATGATCAATGGCATGTACGCTAAGAACATTGCACCGGGCCTGGGCGCTGGACGTATATATGAGCCCCGTATTTACGGCTTCCGCGTTTCCGAGATTGCAAAATCAGGCCCTCGGATGCAGTGGTTGAGGGACAGGCCGGATAGCATGACCGAACTGGACGAGGCGCGTCTGTACGCGGATGAACACCCCGATTCAGACAATGACGAGGAGAACCTGAACGGCAACGGCCGGCCTACGCCCCGTCGCCGTGCTCCTGGCAATGCGCGCCTCCGTGCAACGCAACGCCAGGCGCAGAATGGCAGCCCGATGGCTGTGGAGACGAACGGTGCAGAGTCGGAGCTTTAGGACTTGGTTTGGAAAACGATTCGTACTTATGGGACCGGTAGTCCTCCAAGGTTGGGCGGCGAGTGTGGCACCGCGCCAGGATGGAGGCAACAGGCCAGGGAGAGAAAGATGTCGGTGCAGATCGAGCGAGACGGTCAACACGGCTGCTCTGCATAAGGTAGATGGCGTTTAGGAGGCACACCCCGATCTCCGTTGACGAAAGAGGCACGGCGTTGCTAAGGGAGATGCATTACTGAAGTAAACAACTCATGCCGTTACACGAACTCTGATTTCAACTCTTTTTGCAGGCAATGGTGCCTGTTGTATAGGCTGAATGCGATGGCCATTGCATTTCTGGGCCTCGGGACACAGAATATAGACTGCATGCAATTCGACGGTCAAAAACAACGACTCTTCATCTCGCTCTCATCGCGATGCATGGAGACAATACCTCTACACAACGGCTCGGCGGCAGATCTCCTTGTAGGTAGCGATGGCCCCCGTGAAAACCACACCCTGCCCATGGGGTCAGCTTCTCGATGTCCACGTTGCGTCTTTCCTTGCCCTGCATACTAGTAACGTATCACTGGCCTGGTATTCTCCATTTCACCCCGCCCCCTCCTCCCACCTGCTCCTCTCCTCCCGGTCGCGTATTTCCCGGATCGCCATCATGCTTAATGCCCCAGACGATCCTCCTAGACCCACAAACCCATGCAGAATATATTCGATGAGAGGACTATACGGCCCCGGGTGAATGCTAGACAAATCTACGAACGAGCCTCTCTTCATTTATCCTTTGCCTGCTATTTACCCGGATGATGTCACCCTGTACCGACGATGCGGGGACTCGAGCTAGGCTTGTTCGTTGGCAGATATCCCGAGCATGTTTGATGCGATTACCATAGCCTTCTAGTTCGCCTATAAGTCGCCCATCTAGTCTCGAATGTAACTACTGAGTGTCATATCTTGGAGAGAAGGGCATGTCACTTGCATTATAGTAGACATTATGTTTTCACTTGTAACATTGGCCGTGTGGCTGATGTGCCTTTCAGTGTCAGAGGGATCTAACTCGACCTTTTATAACCCAATATTCCCAGGATTTCATCCAGATCCTAGCTGTATATTTGTTCCTGAGTGGAATGATACCTTCTTCTGCGCATCCTCTAGTTTCAATGCATTCCCGGGCATACCACTCCATGCTAGTAGAGACTTGCAGAATTGGAAGCTAGTCGGTATGTTCCAATGACCTGTGAGGGTGAATACTCCATTAACATGGTCTAGGGCACGTCTTGAACAGGGAAGAACAGCTCCCTCGACTTGTTGAGACAAACCGATCCACAAGGCAAGTCTCTCGGGGTAGAAGAAAGCTTGCCGCGCCTGACAGAATTCAGTGGTATTTGGGCACCGACACTGCGCTATCACGATGATACGTTTTGGCTTGTTACAACTCTTGTAGACGATGATAGAGACGCGGCAGATGCTTCGCGGTGGGACAACGTATGATCCGATTCACGTTCTTCTCCTTGACTCATCTAACTCAGTTCTCGGGTCCAAGATTATCTTCAAGGCGCAAGATCCTTTTAATCCGGAATCTTGGACCGACGCGGTCCATTTTGAGTTTGAAGGATACGATACGGAGCCATTTTGGGACGATGATGGTAAGACATACATCAATGGTGCCCACGCCTGGAAGATCGGGTATGTGTTATGGAAATGAGAGCGACCCTCGGAGGAAAAAACACAAACGCTGAAACAATACAAGACCGTGGATTCAACAGGCGGAGGCCGATCTCAACACCGGGAAAGTCGGCGAATGGAGAACTATCTGGAATGGCACAGGCGGCATGGTCTGTGATGAGTCCTCTGGAGACTTCCTCAGGGCTGACATGGGAACAGGCACCCGAAGGACCACATATCTATCGTAAAGATGGCTACTACTATCTTCTGGCTGCCGAAGGTGATTCCAAATGAACATCCTGTGGGCTCCGAAAGCTAATGGCAAGTTGAAAGGCGGCACTGGGCTTGGCCATATGGTCACGATGGCCCGCTCAAAGAGTATCGGTGGCCCGTATCAGTCAAATCCATTGAACCCTGTTCTGACCAACGCCAATACTACCAATTATTGTTAGCAAAGCGCAAAGAGTGCTCTATTTCCAAGTTGGCTCTGCAGGCGAGGCTAACGGAGATCAGTTCAAACTGTCGGACACGCAGATCTATTTCAAGATGCCTCTGGGAATTGGTAAGGAGCTCCACCATTGTACTTCGAGTAGCTAATGAGAACCAGGTGGTGTGTTGCCTTGGGCACGAGATCAGGGCCAGAATGGCGCAACTTTCCAATGGGCCGAGAGACTGTCATGACTTCGGTAACGTGGAACGAGGGGGAATGGCCATACTTTACCCCCATCGAAGGGAAGATGAGTGGCTGGGAGATGCCGCTTGAGAATCTGGATATTGAAGGCCCCGGGTACGTATTACATCTTTTCCCTCTCAAGAAGACTTCTGCTAACCAAGCTAGCCCATGGATCTCACTGGGAGAAATTGAAGGCGACGCGTTTGACTTCTCTCCGAATTCGGCCCTTCCAGCTCACTTCACGTATTGGCGGTATCCGATCGAAAGCTCATACATAGTTTCACCGCCTGAGAATCCCAACAGCTTACGTCTGATACCCTCCAAACTCAACCTCACCGCTCTAAATGGGAACTACGCGGGTCCCGATGGCCAGACATTCATTGGAAGAAGACAGCAAGACACGCTCTTCTCTTATAGCGTCGAGCTTGACTTTCAACCAACCGAGGAGGAGGAAGAGGCCGGCGTTACGGTGTTTCTTACGCAGAACCATCACCTTGATCTCGGCGTTGTCTTGCTGCCCGCGAGCGCGAGTACGCAGGCCTTCCCTGGCCAGAATTTGACGACGGGGGGAAATCCGACTGATCTCAAGCTTCAATTTCGGTTCCGAGCTATGTCGTATGTTGCTGTTCCCACTGATATCGTGGCACCCGTACCGGAGGACTGGCTTGATAAACCACTCAGATTGGAGATTCGGGCTGCCAACATGACACATTACTCGTTCTCTGCTGGGCCAGCTGGGTCAGCTTTCCAGACCAAGACTCTTCTCTACGCCTCCAACGATGCGGTTAGTTGGGGTTTCACAGGTATGCCGCTTTCTCTTTCTGAATCAAAGCTTTCGCTGATAGCTCAACAGGTGCATTCCTCGGGGTGTATTCGACTAGCAACGGGAGGACTGGAAAAACGCCTGCTTATATCTCAAACTGGAAATACACCCCCGAGGTGCAGTTCAGAGATTGAAAATCACCAACCAGATCGGACTTTTCAAGAGTTGGATATGTTTAAAAAGGAAGCTACAAGTAGATTCTCTGTACCGATCCTTGTACACAGCAATCTTTCCAAACTCTCGTTCTCTTCGGTGATCGAGATCGCGGGTACACATTCACGTCAGCAAACTGACCCGGTGAATCATATGCTTCCTCTGGCAAATTACAATAACAACGGCAAGATGGCCGAGCGGTCTAAGGCGCTAGCTTCAGGTGCTAGTCAAGTAATTGGCGTGGGTTCGAATCCCACTCTTGTCATTAAGTTTTGCTGATGGAGATATCATCGAGGTATGACATGCCTGGGGGCTGAAAACATTATATTCCCCTTAACGTTCACAATGATGTCTATTCCGGGATATTATAGCACCCCATGCCTACCTTGAAGGATTGGATGTTCTATTTTGGTCTCTTGACCGCCTCCGATTTGAGTATATGGGGTGGTTAAGTACGACCTTGCCCATATTGTTCTCTAGCGGCCGCGATGGTCACGATTGTGGGACTAATCCATGATATGTTCCTTGAGGAATCAGTGTGGCATGCCCACGTCTAGATGTATGTTCAACATAAGGATGGCAGGAGCTGGCTCATAGAGAGTGTCGACACTTTCTTTGCATAGGCTGCTAACGTCATTAAGAAGCAATAGACAAGAGTAGAGCATCTGCAATTCCCTGGCTTTATTCGAGATTGACGCTTCGGCACACATGAGTCACTCAGCCGCTCGCGACCAACGAGCAGTTGGTCCGACGTGAGAGTCACCTCCACGTCCTCGGAGCAGCACCCCATGTCGCTCGTCGAGCAACTCGGAAGACGATGAAGGAAAGATATCACCAAACAACAGGCCAGCATGCTCAAACAGACAGAGTAATTCTCATAGTCCATGTTTATTGTTTCTACATGGGTGTACATAGTACAGTCCTTCCTAATCTAGCAGGTTCATCAATCAAAGTGAAGGTTAAGGGATCTATTGATATCCAGGTTAGCTAGTGCTTTCGTGCCAACAAGCGCTTGATTAAGTTTTGCTTCAAAGCTACATTCAGACTGTTGAGCTTGATAAATTGAATCAACATAGTATATTCTGTTGGCCGTTCTTAATGGAAGAGTTGATCATCAACGTAGCAACCCGCGATGGAGTCAAATTTGTTAAGAAAAAATGAGATCAAATGCTTACCGAGCAGGGAAATTTCTGTGAACAGAATGTAGTGAAGTGAGTAAAAATCCGAGGTAAAGCCCTCGTGTCGCCTGAAGGCAGGATGCGCAGGAGATACCATGAACGATTTGAGTACTCTGATACAGTCGACCATTGAGATTCTCAAAAGAGATCGATACTCGGTTTGGTTCGTCCTTTATATCGAAGTGAGGAAAAAAGCCGCGACTGGAGAGAAACAGAAAAGATTTTTGTAGTCAAGGTCTCGGTGGTGCACGGCCCATGCGGAACGGGCTCGCTTACTTCAGATGATGGAGACAGTTGAGTTGAGCCTTAGGCAGATGGCGGCTCCCCATCAAGAACTGTTTAGCTGCATCTATCCCTCGAAACAAGAATCACCCCGCTATTTATGCCAGTATCTACCCTATAGCACTTGCACAATCGCATGCTGATAGTCGAAGCGGTTACAGGTGTCAGAAGTTCAGAACCCCACCATTAATACTGGGCACCCAAACCCAAAGACCAGGTAGGCACTGCCCTATGCCTAAAACCAGGAAGTTGCCCGACAGGTGACGTTAGGTACCTGACCACAGTGACCAAGTGCCCAAGCACACAAGGTAAGGTACCTTAGCCTCCCGCCTTCCATTGCGTGTGTGCTGTGCGCCGCGCCCCTGCCATTCGATTGTGTTAGTCCCCTCTTTGCCCACCACCCCTCCTTCGTTGCTCAGCCTGGCGACCGGCGAAAGCTCTCCTCCGACAAAAGTCTCGATCGCTTCAAACCCACCGTAAACAAACCGACCCCTCCTTCCGACCCGAAACCCCCTCGTCTTCAACACACCTATCCCCTTTCCAAATCAGACAAAATGGCGAACAGTAAGTAGATGTGCACTCAACCGTCCCCGTCACTGCTGTAGCTGTTGTCTTTGCGCGTGCGCTCGCTCTGTGTGCTGCCCCGCATCTCCATGATGTTTTCGTCCTTTTTTTTGCGCTTCATCAGACCAAGAAAATAGATAGATAGCTAACCGATGCCTTTTCGCAGACTTCGAGGAAATCGCAAGTAAGTGTTTCCATACTCGATAGCCGAGATAGCCCGCACCGCAATGCCGTTTGCTTGCCCTTCTTCGACAAAGAAGACACTGACAGCCTCCACAACGCAAACAGAGCAGTTCATCGAGTTCTACTACAACCAGTTCGACTCGGACCGCAAGGGACTTGCCAGCCTCTACGTGAGAAATCTACTGCTACATAATCATCCGGGCATTCACTGACAACGATAATAATAATAGCGGGAGCACTCTATGCTGACTTTCGAGTCTGCTTCTTCCCTTGGTGTCAACTCCATCGTTGAGAAGCTCACCGTGTGTACTCCCAAAGAGAATGCGCAAATTCAATGCGCCGCCTGCAGTCCCCTCACTGACCCCTTTACAATAGTCCCTCCCCTTCGAGAAGGTCAAGCACCAGGTCACCACCCTCGACGCCCAGCCCACCGCCGATGGCGGCATTATCATCCTCGTCACTGGCCAGCTTCTGGTACGTATATGACATGCCCTGCGGCTGTTCCACCGTTGCAACTCTTTATCTAACCCAAGAAAAATAGGTCGATGAGGAGCAGCGCCCCATGAACTACACTCAGGCTTTCCAGCTTCTGCGTGATCCTGCCTCTGGCAGTTACTTCGTCTACAACGACATTTTCAAGCTTGTCTACGGTGCATAATTCTCCACGCACTCTAGGAGAATACGATTTGATGAGGCCTAATATCTGATTTCGAGGGACCGGGCATGGCTTAGGGCAGGATAAAAGAATCTCTGTCTCCTTCGATTTCTCATTCCCATGAATCTACGCCGGGTTGAGGCGAGCACGTTGACAAGGATACCATTTCACGTTTCCAGGAATCCCAAGACGGCTCTGTTCATACATGGCTCTTTAGAGAACTGGGAAAATACCCCTATTATTATCACATGAACTCAAAGACCTATTACGCCCCTTGATATCTTGTATGACTTTGTGGCCTTGATTTTGCCTGTCATTCCGTTTCCTGCGCCTCGCATAAATTTCAGTACAAGAATGGAAACCCGAAGTTGGAAATCAAACATCGCCCCTCAAAGGCTATCTTCAGACAAGTGGTCACCGTATCTAGACGGCACCATTGGTGTTACATCATCATCGCTTTGCCGTTCTTTCCACCCTCAACGGACCTGCATGTGGGCGTCTCCGCTGTCACGGAACACGAGCTGAGCGTGTTGACCGCGGACGATCTCCTCTTCCCCACCTCCGTTCTTGATAATGCCGTTCCGAGTGGCACCCGGGCCCATAGTTCCGAACCCAAGGTCGCGGATACGGCCACTCGCGATGTCGAAGATGCAGCCGTGGACAGTCATGCCTCGCTCTTTGATAGCCTCCTGAACGGTGAAGTTGGCCATGAGCACATTGACACCAGTCTCGACGTTCATCTCTGCGATACGGACAGCCTTGCGGTCCTCATTCTTGATGGCGTCGAGCTCCTTTGCGTTTTGAGCGCGGACTGTCTTCAAGGGAGTGAGCCAGGTATCGAGCACGCCTCCGACACGGGAGTCGCCCAGCGCCGCCTTGGCACCGCCGCAGGCTGAGTGACCGCAGAGCACGACGTGCTTAACCTTGAGGTGGGCAACAGCGTACTCGATGACGGCCGAGGTGTTGATGTCTGTGGGGGCTACGATGTTGGCGATGTTGCGATGGACGAAGACGTCGCCGGGTTGGAGACCCAAGATTGTTGTCTCGGGAACACGAGAATCAGAGCATCCTAGCCACACTTTGTGTCGACATGCGTTAGCATCAGAGCTTAAGGAGGACGCTGGCATTGCAGATGAACTTACAGATTGAAGGCGACTGCCCCGAGGCAAGGTTCTTGAAGAACGCAGGATTCTGGTGTGATTTGTACCCAGCCCAAGCTTGGTTAGAGCTCAGGGCATAAAGGAACTTGTTCTCTTTATCCATGACGATGGAATGTCAGCATGTTGTCTTGAAGTAGGACTATTTGCCCAGGGAGGTGAGATTGTCGGGTACTTACGGTCATGGAAAGCCATTGTGATCGAATGTACACTGACGCAGCCGGACTCAATGTAAGAGCAACGCTGCGGGGTATCTAGATGAATTCGACTACGACTCGGTCGATAGTCGGGAGGACGTAATAGCTGATTCTAGTGTGCAAGCAGGAAAGTATTACGTGTTGCTCCTGTGTCCGGATGCTGTGTGCAGGCAACCTGGCTGAGACCTGCCCAGCTGTAGAGATAGTAATGATATATGAGACCCTTGATTGACGCTCGTTTCTGCTGCGAGGTAGAGAAGCCGGGCCGGTTCACTACTGGAAAGGAGGAGCTGATTTCTGACTGTACACACAGAGCACGACAGACGTCAAAGTTGTCGGACGTCCTTGGCTACGAGGTAGAATGCCGGGTCGACGTAGGTGGGAACACAAGGCCGCAGAATCGAATGTATGACAAGTGACTTCCTGTCTCGGCCGACGGTATGCGAGTTAAGCTGGTTGGGAGGGACTTTGGAGTCTGAGATCGAAGATGACGGTGGTGGTGGTGTTGGCCAACGCCGAATGCCGTAGTGTAACCTGGGGTTTTCGCGGACTGGTCGTGCCACTTGAGTATAAGCAAGATGTATTGAGCTAGTGATGCGTGACGAGAACAGGCATATGCAAAGAGATTCCGAGCCTTCAGCGAAGGAAGCAAGGATGATAATAGATAGAGGGGAAAGAGGGACGATCCAATGAGCTGAGTGAAGGAGAGTGAGAGAGAGAGTGTGTGTGTGTGTGAGAGTGTGGTATGTGAAGGGCGAACCAACCTATTCCAGAAAACTTGCGTTGAGATGAGCAGAGACTTGTGGTTGAGTTGGAGAGGGAGCGCCGAGGGAATGGTTGATCCAATGAGAGATGGTGTTGTTGAGACAATGTAAATGAGCTTCAAGATCAAGCTGAGCTGAGAGAATGGTAGTATCAGACAACGTAGTGGGCAAGCGAAATAGACTCGAGATCCTGCAGTAGGCTACATGCAGATATCATAAGATGTAAGGCCATGAGCACGCGGGGGGGCGAGACATGGAGCATAATATAAGTAGTATGGCGATGCATACTTGGGCGCTACCATACATGGAGTCGATGCATGAGACGAGAGCAGAGAGACACAGACAGACGGAACACCCCCGGGTACCACCCGCAATCCTCTTGGCCGGGACCATGACCGTGACCATTTGGTGGAGAGCTCTCCGCACCTGGAGACAGAGCCAAACACAGAGCCAGACAGAGCCAAGACTTTCGGACGAGTCGCCCCAGAGATTGACGGTGCCACACCCCGGGCATCACCAGGGACAAGTACACACGGCAGAAGACAGAAATAGGGTGGGGGGGAGGGGAAATGGGAGACGGGAGAGAAAGACGGAGGGAAACTTGGGAAGAAGACACCATACCCCGGTCACGTCTTTGCGATGCGCACTATTTCGGGGTTGTGACCTGTGACTTGGGACGTTTGCGCTATGCCTCCGGCTAATCCACCACCCTGAGGCGGTGCGGTGTCCGCATGGCAATGGAAAGCATGGCCAGTGTTCACGGCATATGTCCTGGCTGCTATTCTTTAATGGACGGTTGTGTATAACAGAATCGGACTGAATCTAATCGATTGAAAACGCTAGCGAGGGCGCGCAGTGTATTATTGTCTCCGGCCACCGAGTGGGGGCTGAAGGACCGTCTCCGTGCGATGATCAGTCAGGCCCGGCCATCTCCGTCGGTCGGGCACTTATCTCCGTTCCAGCCCACTTGGGTCGTGGAGAATCTGACCGAGCCGCTGACAAGTTGAACTGTCCGTTTGACAGACAAGGGCAGTACCATAGTGAACCCCCCGTCTCTAATGCGCGGCCGCGGAATATGATCCATGCTCTCTGTCTTTGGGGCTACCAGAAGCCATAGGGAAACAGTTGAACCAAGAGCGACTCCCGGCTGTGAAACAGTGCTTGTCAGTGTCATCCCTCACAACACTGCCGTAAAGGCAAGGCATCCTTCGCAATCCCAATCCTTCCCTCGCTGATCTCCACGGTGTGATCGACGGTGATCTGACAGATTGGGTTCATGTCGCTATCTCAATCATAATGCAGACAGGACTGTTTACCAATGAGAAGGA